CAGCTCCGCGAGCCGCTGGGTGGCGGCGAGCTGGGCTCGGGAGCGCCGGGGCGGCCCGGTCCGCGGCCCCGCCTTCCTCTCCGCCCAGCGGGGCGGCCTGCGGGCGGGGGCCGGGTCTCCGCGCTGACCCCCTCCCGTCCCCGCAGAGCCTGCGCCGCGCTCTCGGGAACTCGGCGGGGCCTCGGCTTCCAGAGTTGGCGCGCGGGACGGACTCCGTGGACCTGGCTTAGCGCAGCCGCCGCGCCTCCTCTCACTCTGGTACCGGTAAGGCGCGGGGAGGCGAGGGAGGGGCAGCCCTCCGCCTGCGTCGGGGCGAGGGGCGCGCGAGGCGCTCCGACCCGGACGGACTCGGGGGAGAGCGGGCACGTGGAGGCTCTGCGGACTGCAGGGTCGGGGCGAGCTGCGAGGGGCGCTGGGGAAAGGGGGCGTGGGGAGCCGAAAAGACCAGAGGCAGAACCGAGGACCCCGGCGATGGAAGAGGCCCAGCACCCACGCCTCTTACCCTGCTGGGTCCTTTGGGAGGTAGGCGTGTTGGTTAAGTGCTCAGCGTTGGGAGGGCAAAGGGGACCGGTCCTGAGGTCCCTGCTCTGCAGGGCTGAGAAGCCTGTTGTGCCCCTGATGGGGACTGGAGGCTCCCGAGCCCCAAAGCAAACGTTTCTCGGTAACACCCTGTCTGCGCACAGACGTGTGAAGGGTTCTGGTGAGCTCATGTGAAGTAGTTTGACTGCCCTGTCTCGGCTTTGCGTGTATGTGAGGCTGGTATCTGTTCACATGAGTCCATCTGGCCTAGTAGGTGTATTTGTTTGAGCGTATTTCCACGTGAGAAAAGTGCTGTCTGTCTGAAAGTGTGAGTGTCTGAGGACTGTGTTTCTGAGTGTGTCTTTTTCTGCGAGGATGTTGGTTTGGGGCATGACTGGGCTTCCTCCCTGCGTCACTGTGGGCCAGAGACAGTGTCTCCGATTGTTGGAGCTTGTGGCCCCCAGGCACCACTCGCCTGGACCGGGCAGAGCTGGAAGGAAGCTGTCTTTCTGAGGGAGAGGGGGTTCTGTTCTTGCCTGGAACGGCAGAGAACAAGTTGGTAGAAGGCTAAAGGAAGTTGAGATCTTTGTCACTTGTTGATGGGGTGGGTTATTGATCATTAGGGTTGGGGGAGATTATGGGGAGGAGACCATTTGAATCTGGAGACTTGTATAGACAACACTTTTAAAGTTGGCCCCCAGGACAAAGAGGAATCCATGTATGCCAGCCACAGCTACTTTCTAGTGGTCCAGTTCTCCTTGGAGCTGCCCGTGCAGTCAAATGGATGAACCTTTAATTCTTTACAGCTTTCTAGACCATCCGACACTTTCCTGTGGCAGCAAGGCGAATGACTGGCACATTTCCTGAATGCTGCAGTGCCAGCATAGGAGGGAAGGGCTGCCTTTGATTCGCTATTTGAGCAGTAGGAGACCCCCTGGGTGTCTCCGTTGACTCATCTCTTTCTGCTTTGCTTTCAGTTTTCTCTCCATTTGGAGTTTTACTATCAGAAACATTTTCAAGGAGTGAACTGGGCAGGGGAAATGACATAGTATGTGGGGTGGGGGTTAGGGTACACAGGCAGACCTGCCCTCAAGGGTTCTGCATTCCCACAACATGATGATGTGGGCATATTTTTTAGGGTTTCTTGGAAGGAAGGAACAAGACTGCTCTCATTGGGATGGGAACTCTGGTCACTGCTCCTCCATGCACCCTGAGGATGCCAATGTTCTGGTGGGACCCTCCTCACTCTTACCTGGTTAGGCCAGGTGTGTGGCCGGGGCTTCAAGGGTGTCTGTTCTAAAGGCAGCATTGATAGTGTGGAAAGGGTACAGGTTTCATGGTCAGACATACCTGTGTACAATGCTGGCCATCACCTCACTATGTTTGAGACTCTCAGGTTGTTTTCTGATGAGTAATATGGGAGGGGGTTAGTTGATAAATACCCAAAAAGTTTGTTGTGAAATTTCAATGTTTGCAAAGTACCTAGCACAGTGCGTGGCATTTCCTGGGGACTCAGTAGCCAATGCTCCCCAACTTATTTCAGCATGGAACCTCATTTTTCCTGGGGACTTCTCTGAACATCCTTTGCTAGACCCTGCCCTGTTCGTTCATGTTTATTTAGCAAACCTGAATTGGGCGTTTACTATAGGCCAGGCCCTGTACCATGCTCTTCAGCTTTAGAACCAGGATAGCTTGTGGGCCAGGTGCAGGTGGGGACAGGCTTTGTCACAGGGGACCACAGGGCCTCCAAGTCCTATGTTCTAATTCCAGTTTTGCCTTGACCGCAGGGTAAACCTGTTGAACATTATTGGGCACTCTAATTTCAGCATCTAGCTCCCTCATATTAAAGACAGGGAAACTGGCCTGGCAGTACTTGAGTGTCGACCTGTGAACCAGGAGGTCACTGTAAAATTCTGGTCAGAGCATGTGCCCGGGTTGTGGGCTTGGTCCCTGGTCAGGGTGTGTGCAAGAGGCAGCTGATCAATGATTCTCTCATCATTGATGTTTCTTTCTCTCCCTCTTCCTTACTCTCTGAAATCAATAAAAATATATATTTTAAAAATAACAACAGGGAAACTGAGGCCCCTCGAGGGACAGTAACTTGCTTAAGCTTGCACAACCAATAAGTTGCAGACCTGGGTCTTGAACCTACTGTTTTCACTTTGCATTCTGTCTCTTGCTCTGTGGATCCCAATGTTCAGACCCCCTGTTCACCTTCATCTAACAGGTGTGGAGGCTGTAACAGTTTGACTTGGATAATGTCTGTCATCTTGTGGCTCAGATAAGGTTGTTAGGAGGCAGAAATACTCGTCTCCGAACCAGCAAAAAGCACAGAACTGTGGAATCTGAGAATGCCACCTCTGGAAGGGATCCTTAAGAGGTCTTTAAAACGCACCCTCTATTCTCCTTGCTGGTCTGTACATGACTCAGCCAGGTGGAGAAGGTCTCTATCTTTCTAAGGTCTCCTGGGATGCAGATTATCACAGTCTCCTGTGGTTTCCATTCTGGAGTCTTGTGCTAGTGACTGTCACAGAGCAATACCTTTTGCCTAATCTGTGGCTTCTTTCCTTCTCCGGTGGAGGTGGAGGACATGGGCCACCACTTTGCTCCGCTGACTTTCCTGTTGTTCTGGTCAGTCCCGGGAAATTCAGGGCTTGTAGGGATGGCTCTACCTAGCCTGTCTTCCTTTGCCCTCCATGACCCTTTGTTGGCAGGGGTTGGGAGGAGAGCTCCCTTTAAAGCTCTGAAATTGGAGCTGAACAGCTGCTCTCCGACCCCCCTTCCCCCCCTTGCTTTAATCGCTCTGGGGCCCAGGTGGAGGTGGGGGCAGGGCTTTGTCCCTGGCAGCACAGTCTCCACTTCCTATGTTTTATTTTATTTTATTTATTTAAAAAAATTTTTTTGTTAATCCTCACCTGAGGATATTTTTTTCATTGATTTTTTTTAGAGTGGAAGGGAGAGAGGGTGGGTGGGAGGAAGGGAAGGAGGAAGGGAGGAAGGGAAGGAGGAAGGGAGGGAGAGAGGGAGGGAGGCAGGGAGAGAGGGAGGGAAAAAAAGTGATAGAAACAGAGACATAAAGAGATGATAGATAGATAGATAGATAGATAGATAGATAGATAGAAGGAAACAAACGTCAATGTGGGAGAGACACATCGATCATCGATAGGTTGCCATCCACATGAGCCCCGAATTGGGACCAGGGATTGAACCTGTAACCCAGGTACATGCCCTTGACCAGGAATTGAACTTGTGACCCTGAATGGGCCCACGCTTCAACCACTGAGCAACACCAGCCAGGGCACCAACTTCTGTGTTTTAATTCCAGCTTTGCCTTGACGTTTTCTGAAAGGACAGTTCTTCCCTTACTTTTGGGTTTTCCTTTAGATGTTGGGGAGATTCTAATCACCTGTGTGACATGGTCCTGGAGCCTTCAGCTGGTAGCGACTGGATCTTTGGAAACTTTCCCACTAAAACTCCAGTCCCTAAGATCTGTGCCCACCTCTCCTGCCTTTAATACTGGCAGGCTCACGGAAAGGCAAGAGGATGGGCCTGGCTCCCTGTGGTGTGGGCCAGCTCCTTGGCGGTGCTGAGGGTAGGCGGGCCCCCATGGGTGGGAACGCAGCTTCCTTTGACCCAAACTTCATGGGAACAATAGACTTCAGAGGAGTCACCAGGGGCAGGAAATGGGAGCTGTGCTAAGGCTGGGTGACCCTCCTGGGGGATGGGATTGCATATCCGGCCGAAAGGAAGGCCAGGGTGTTGGGATCAGTGCAAAGGGCACTGGGGAGGGGCTGATGACACATAGGGTGGGCCTCTGCTCTGAAGGGGGCTGTTGACTCAGTGAAACCTGAGCTGCTTAGAGTCCATTATTTGGCGGAGCATTCTGCTCTGCGTCTCACTAACAAAGGCTTTGTGTGCGATACCTGACAGCCCCGCCGCTGCCCAGCTCACCCCTACCAGAGCCAGGTCTTCCCCTTCCCTTCAAGCCCCTTGAGACGTCTGCGTGAATCTTTCTGACCGGATTAAAGGCGACTTTTGTTTCTTCCTGGATGATCTCCATCTTGGCGTTGAGCCTTGAGTAATAGTTGACTGGGGAGGCAATTTGTGCAGTGGGCAGAGCTCTGGGTGGGGAAGCAACAGGCCTGGATCAGCTGGACAGCATAAAGGGATTGTTTTTTCTTTTTTTTCTTTTTTTAGGCACAGGCAGAGCAAGAAGACACAAGACAGTCAGGGGGAGATTCCTGCTTGAGGCAGGTGGTGGAATGTTCTGGGAGGCAGAGTCTCTCTTATCATGCCTTGATCTTTGTGAGGGTAGAACAGACTTTGTGAGAAGGTTAAGGAGGACTGTGGGAGGAAAGAGGATCAGACCACACTGAGTTGCTTTTGCTTTTCTTTTCTTTTTTTTTAAAAGGGTTTTTAAAAAATATATATTTTTTATTGATTTTTTACAGAGAGGAAGGGAGAGGGATAGAGAGTTGAGAGAGAAACACCGATCAGCCGCCTCCTGCACACTCCCTCCTAGGTACATGCCCTTGACCGGAATCGAACCTGGGACCCTTGAGTCTGCAGGCCGACGCTCTATCCACTGAGCCAAACCGGTTAGGGCAACTTTTGCTTTTCTTGAGTTCTGGTTGCCAGACTCTTACAGGTCAGGTTTGGGGTCCTGAGAAGCTGTATCAGTGACCACGGAATCACTCCAGGGTCTGGGCGGAGATAAGAGTGGCCAAATAACAAATGCCGCCCTCATTTATTTCTTCAATGTAGCAAGATGGGGATTCTGGAAGTGTCAGGCTGTTAGGCTTCTTGTTGGTCCCCCAAATTCCAGGCCAGATATTTGAACAAAAAAAATCTAAGGGGACTTCAAAATGAAGTTGAGGTAACTAATAGCCACCACATGTTCACTCTGTCAAGTCTTGGAAAATAATATAGTTTGGGTGGAGGAATGTTCAGTAAGAACTTTGAGTCTAATGATTTTCTTGGGTTTGAGAGAAGTAAGTATGATCTGGCTGATACAGCAGTATGATGGGTTGGTACCTGGTTGAAAGGTTATCCTGGGTACTGAATGGAGCTCACGTCACCCTGCGGGGAGGTCTCCAGCAATATGTCTCAGAGCTGTCTTCTCTCGTCCTCTATAGATTCTGTGGGTGTTTAAGGCAGCAAGCAGGATTCTAAATCATCTTAATTGACTAGAATGCAGAAATTAAGCAGAAATATGAAATTAAAAAACGTTTTGTCTGTTAAAGCTCATACATGCTCATTGTAGAAAGCCTTTATAAGTTAAAGGAGAAACAAAATGGTGCATAGTACCACAACTTAGGGATGAGCACAGTTAGTATTTTAGTATAGGTCTCTCCAGTTTTGTGTTCATGCAAACTATATATTTTAAATAATTGCAATTATACTCCTTTCTTCCTACTGAATACTATATAGTGAGCAATATCCCATGTCATAAAAATCACTTAAAACCATAATTGTCAGGGTCTGAATAAGATTACATTATATGAATGCCCCTTAATTTTTAAAATTTATCTTTTAACACAAACCTGGCACAGACTAAGTGCATTCTCTGTTTCTTTTTTTCAGAGAGATGAAGGGAGAGGGGGAGAGAGATGGAAACATTAAGGATTAGAGAAAATCATTGATTGGCTGCCTCCTGTACGCCCCCCAACTGGGGATCGAGTCCACAACCCAGGCATGTGCCCTGGCTGGGAAGCGAACTGTGACTCCCTGGTTCATGGGTCAATGCTCAACCACCGAGCCACACTTGGCCAGGCAGAATTCCCCTTAATTTATTTAACTGTACCCTACTGCACTTTCAAAAATTGTTTTCGACTTTTAGCCATTGAAAATTACTTGCTATCTAGCAATGTGAACACGTATACTTTCCTCAAGATAAAATCTAATAGATTTAAGTGTAAAATCCTGCATTTAAGTTCAAAACAACAATTATATAAGTATAGAATAGGAACTATCAATTCTTGTGGTGAAAACATATTTGGGCTTTCATTTGACAAAGGAAGGGGAAGGGAAATGAGCATTTATGAAGTGCCTACTAGGTACCAGGTGTTATTCTAGACAATTTTGCCTACATCATCTCCTTTAATCTTTGTGAGGTAGGGTTCGTTTTCTGTTTGTTTTGTTTTTTAACCGTTACTGTACAGAAGAGGAGAAAAGTTACACAGAGATTAATGCTTGGGTTGGAGTTTGAACCCAGGTCGATCTGAGTCTTCGCACCGCCCCTTAAACCGAGTCTGTGTGCCTAGTGGTGTGGTGGGGTTTGTGTCAAGGAAAACCTTAGTCCACTAAGCTCGGTGCTGCTCGGGCCACCTTGGGAGTCACCTCTGCTTTGGGAGGGTGGATACGCCCTGACCTGTTAAGTATGCAGCTTGCTGGTGTTGTGAGTGTCTTAGCAGAGGGCAGATGAGGATTGGACCCGGCCCGTCATCAGGGTGTGTCGTTTCTCATTTCCAGAAGGCGGGCCCTCTTTGCAGGAGGAGTACGTCAGCTCCATCTGCTCTAAGTCAGTTTCACTACGTAGTACCACCTAGAACTACATAGAATTTCATTACCTGGAACTCGTTAGGGATGCTTTGGAGGCCTCTGCACTGGGTGGGAAATTGGACCAGATGACATCTAGGTCATCCATGTGGTTCTGGGCCTCAGTTTCTCCACATGCAGCAAGTGGGGATTGTACTAGGCAATGGGGGAGGTATTTTCCCACTTTGGCATTCTGGGATTCCTGATGGAGGCAAGGCTGAGAGATGTGGGGGTGGGGTGGGGCAGGGTCCAGGCAGTTAGAGGAGACAGAAAGGGGAGATGTGGGAGTTACTGCCTGGCTCCCCATCATCTTTGTACCAGCTGCATGAACAGGTGTTAGGGACAGGCTGCACCCTGAGGCGGGGGCAGGGGAAGATGACTCCAGCATGGAGTGGTGGCTACGAGCTCAGACTCCAGACCTGTGCTGTCCAATAGAGATATGGCATAAGCCAGATAGATCATTTTAAGTCATCTAGGGGCCACATTTAAGAAGTAAAGAAAGTGGTAAAATGAATTTTAATAATGTGTTTTATTAAACTACTATGCCTAAAATATTTTTAAACATATAATCAATACTTTAAAACAATTGAGATAGTTTACCTTTTTTTTTTTTCATACAAAGTGTTAGAAATCTAGCATGTATTCTTTTACACTTTAATAGCACATCTCAATTTGAATTAGACACTTTTCATGTGCTCAGTAGCCACGAGGAGCTAGTGGCTAAGTTTGGACAGGATAGTTTTGGAGCAAGTTATCTAACTGCAATGTGTCTTATTTTCTCCTCTGCAAAATGGGCATGATAATATTAGTAGAACCAACCTCATGTGGTTGATGTGAAGATTAAACTGGTTATTGTTTATAAAGTGCTTAGTTTTTTGCCTGGCAAATACTAACCACTGTATAAGTTTTTATCAAATAAATCACTTATAGATGGTCCTTAAGCCCTGGACAAGCTAGAATTTATAAAGAGAGGCTGGGGACGTGCTTGGAAAAACCCATTCACAGAGTGGTCATGTGATGTTGCCGGTTCACTGTGCCTGTGCCTGGGAGTTCTACATAATGGACTTGTCTCAGAGCAGATGGACCTGACCTGCTATTGCTGCGAAGAGGGCCTTCTGGGAGTGAGAAATGACACACCCTGATGACAAGAGAGGCTCCAGCCCTTCAACAGGTGTGCGCCCAACATCTTTCTGCTTGGGGCTTGGAATGGTGCTGGGTGGCATGGAGGAAGCAAAAGCGTCTTCAGAAATGTTCCATCGTGAGTTGAATGGCCTCATGTTGGAAGGGAGCAGAGGTCACTTCCAGTTTTTGAAGGTTTAGGCAGTTTTTGTGCTGCTTGTGCAGGAGAAGTACCAGTGGCTACCAGTGGGTAGATTGGAGCTGGGCCCTCTGGGCAGAATAAGGAGGACTTTTAAAAAATATAATTTTAAATTTACATAGGGCAAAGTACCACTCAGTGCACTGCCAGTCCAGCACTGCCAGCCCAATGCTCTTGGCATCAGCTCCCTCCGTTTGCACCTGGCCTCAGCCAGTCCTTTGTGGTCTCAGAGCACCCACTGTGTGCCTGGACTGTGCCAGCTGCAGTGTGGGGAATGTGGAGGGAAGACCTGGTCCCTGTCCTCAACGAGCTTGTGATCCAGCAGGGGAGACAGACTGAAAGCAAACACTGACAGCCTGTAAGATGAAAGAAGGGCTAATTAGAGGCACAAACAAGGGGGTGTCTGGTAAAGATGATTCATTCCGATGCAGCTGGGAGGAGTCAGGGAAGACTTCACAGAGGAGGAGGCACTTGAGCAAGCTTTGTGGGATGGGTAAGGTTTTTTTTTTTTAACTTTTTTATTTATAGTAACATGTTATTTTGTGGCTTTTAAAATTTTCTTTATTGATTACAGAGAGGAATGGAGAGGAAGGGAGAGATAGAAACATCAATGATGAGAGAGAATCATTGATTAGCTGCCTCCTGCACGCCCCACACTGGGGATCGAGCCCACAACCCAGGCACATGCCCTGACTGGGAATCAAACCTTGAACTCCTGGTTCATAGGTCGATGCTCAACCACTTACTGGTAGCTACGCTGGCCGGGCAGGGATGGGTAGGGTTTTGATTGCGCTGTGTATAAACAAGGGAGGGACAGAGGAAGAGAGGAAGGAAGAGAGGACTAAATCTGGGAAGACAGAAAAAAATAGTGATTTCAGGGCTATAGTCATGGAGATAACTGGTCTTTATGGAAGAGATAGATTGGAGCTGGGCCCTCTGGGCAGAATAAGGAGGACTTTTTAAAAATGTAATTTTAAATTTACATACGGCAAAATTTACTCTGTGGTGCACAGTTCTGTGGATTTAGACAAATATATATAGTTGGGTATTCACCGCCACAGTCAAGAGGCAGAACTTTTGTCTCCTTAAACGGTCCCCTCCCGTGCTGCCCCTCTAGGACCCTTCCCCCAAGCCCATCCCCTGACAACTCTGCACTCCTGCAATTGTGCCTTTTCAAGAATGTCAGATGGACTCCTATGGTATGTAGCTTTTGAGCCTGCTTCTTTCACTCAGCATAATGTTTTGAGATCCATCCAAGTTGTGCGTATCAAGAATTCATTCCTTTCTTTTGCTGAGTAGTATGCCATTGTGTGGATGGATGCACCACAGTGTGTTCATCCGTTCACCCATTGAAGGACTTTTGGGTTGTTTCTAGCCTTTATCAATTATGAGTGAAACTACTGTCAACATTCATGGCCAGGTTTTTGTGTGAACACAGGCCTTCATTTCTCTTGGAGTGGGAATATTTGGGAGTGGTATTCCATATGGCACGTGTGTGTTTAATGTTTTAAGAAAACACCAAACTGTTCCCAAAGTATACCAGTTTGCATTCCTACCAGCAAGCATGAGCATTCCTTTGCTCCGTATCTTCAACAGCACTTGGTGTATCAGGCTTCTTTTTGTTGTTGCCATTCTAATGGTGTGTAGTGAAATCTCATGGCGGTTTTAATTTGCATTTCTTTACTGACTAATGATGTTGAACATCTTTTCAGGTGTTTGCCATTCATATAACATCTTTGGTGAAGTGTCAATCCAAATCTTTTGTCTACGTTTTGACTTATTTAATATTTTGCATGTAAATCAGATGTGTGATTTACACATTAAAAAAAAATGTTTGGAGAAAACTCATTTAGGGAAAAAAATCTCCAAAAGAAGATGATGTGTGTGAGGGACTCTGAGAGCGAGGTTTAGAGTTTGGTGTCATGAGCCTTGACCTTTCTTCAAGGGTGAAGTGGGACTTGGATGAGGCAGGGGGCTGGGTGGGGGAAACCCCTAGAGAATGACCTATGAAAAAGGTAGGAAGGAACAGGGCCTTCATGAAGGCCCTGGCTAAGTCTGTTCCTGGCTTAGCACTCGCCATAGAGCATGGTTTGCTGGGCATCTCCCTGTCTGGCTGGCTGTGCCTGGTCTATTCCCCATGGCTGGCTGGGTCAGGTTGGGCTGGTCCCATACAGAACAACAAATGCTTGTGCCCAGCCTGGGTATCAGCCATTTACATGGCCTTGTTTCCAAACTGGATGACCATGCATTCTGGAATGGGAGGTGGGGCATTTTTCAGGCCTTCAGGGGTAAGCCACTGGGTAGGAGTGTGGCTGGTGCAAGAGAGAATCAGTGGGATGTATTTTCTGGGTCAGGGTGGGTCCTCTGTGATGGTGACCTCAGCCAAGGGTCTGAGGGCTTTGGGCCATTGGAACTTCTAGAGCATCTCAATCTTCATGTCTATCTCTGTCTGAGCAGAGTGGCTCTGTGATGGAAGAACATTTCTATGAAAAATGACCAAGGGTAGGATGGGTGCTCCTTCTGCCCCTTGTTCATGCTCAGTCCATCCTGTCCACTGCTGTGGCACTGTCCAGATGCTGGAGTCTTCATTCTTCCCTGGGACAGACCTTTTCCAGAGATGATTAAGGCCTAGAGGTGGAGTGTGGGCAGAGCTGAAGAGGGAGCCCTGCTTTCCTGGAGCTGCTAATGCTGGTGCCCCAGAGCCCTGTGGGCTCCCAGGCCCCTTGATGCTCTGGGCACTGGAGGGCTGCTCCCCAGCACGGAGAGCCCCTGCCTGCCTCCTCCCTGCACTCAGAGCCCCTACCTGAAGTGGCTTGTGTTGCATGGGTGCCAGATGTGGGTGCACCTCTGGTCCTGGCAGGGTGGGGCATGGTCTTGTCTCTTTTTGGGTGAGCAGCTGATTAGGCAGATCCACCCCAGGCCTGGGAAACAAGCATTTGGTGAGCGGCATGCTGTGCGTGTGTGTATGAGCTCTGGTTCTGTCAATTCCCAGAGGGATCGCCATTTGACAGGATTCAGTGACAAGTCCTGTCAGGCAAAGGCTCAGTTATCTATTTTGAGATCTGAATTTTCATAGGACAGGCCTACTAAAAGTGAAGCACTTTCTTACATTTTGCTTTATTTTAGAATCCTGAGGAAAGGCCCTGTGGAGAAAAAACATGCAAGACCTACTCTCCCCACCTTTGTTTTTTATTTATTTTAAATATATTTTTATTGATTTTAGAGAGGAAGGGAGAGGGAGAGAGAGAGAGAGAGATCGAAACATCAATGATGAGAATCATTGACCGGCTGCCTCCTGCACGGCCCCCACTGGGGATTGAGCCCACAACCTGGGCATGTTCCCCTGACCGGAATCAAACCCGGGACCCTTCAGTCCACAGGCTGATGCTCTATCCACTGAGCCCAAACAGCTAGGGCTTGTTTTGTTTTTTACATTAATAGCTTTTATTTTTTTGAGCAATTTTGGGTTTACAGAAAAACTAAGCAGAAAGTATAGATAGTTCCTTCCCTTCTCCCCCACTTGCTCTTATTATTAACATCTTACACTAAAGTCCATCAGAGTTCGCTCTTTGTGTTGTTCATTCTGTGGGTGTTAACAAATGTGTAATGGCATGTATCCGCCCTTACAGTATCACGCAGAGTGGTTCCCCTGCCCTCAGATCCCCTTTGCTCCACCTGTTCATTCCTCCTTTTCCTCAATTCCCTGGCAACCATGGGTCTTTTCCCTGTTTCCGGTTTGTTTTTTTCCAGAGTGTTATATGATTGCAGTCATCCAATATGTACCCTTTTCAGATGGGTTTTCACTTAGCAATATGCCTTTAAGGTTCCTCCAGGTCTTTTCATGGCTTGATAGCTCATCGTATTGTCACTGAATATTCTACTTACCCACCATTTCTCTTTGAAGTGGGGACTCTGAGATCCAGAGAAGGGAAGTGACTGGCTCAAGAGGAACCATGAATTTGTGGCAAGGCTGAGCTTGGAGCCTGTTTTGCCTTTCTTTCACAGCCTATTCAGAGGGGCTGCTGTGACAGGCACTGTGCTGGGGCCTAAAGCTTGTTTCATCACAGCTTCATCAGCCCCTTTGGTGGCTCCAGGGCAGGCCACAGGGTAGGGTGAGCGTGGAGGTCTGTGGACACCCACGTGCTGTGACCCACTTCCTGGAAGTGTTAGGGCTAGGCCCTCAGACACCCACATCCCTGGCTGCTCAGAGGGAGTGGCTGGGGCAGCTTTCCTTGTCCCAGCTTCTGGAGAGGTGATGGGTAGAATACTGGCCCTTTGGGTGTGGGGCTGGGGAATGGATAGAGACTCTGCTACCCCAAGGGCTTAGGGCCTTTATCTACTCAAGAATTTTATCTCCCTTCCTTTTCTCTTCATCTCTGAGCCACCCATGGCCCCTCCCTGTTGAGATACCTCCCACTGGCCTGCTTTCCTCTCCACCTATTTACTTATCTCTCTTCTTGTTGACCCTCATTCCTTCTGTTCCTCTCTTCTTTACTGCTTCCCAGCGGTCATTGCTTCACACTGGTTCTTGCTCCCTCCACCATCCCTCCAATAACCACAGATGTTTGAGGAGACCTTCTGAGAGCCACCTCTGTGCCTGTATCTGTGAGCATGATTGAACTCAATCCTCTAGAGCAGGGGTCCTCAAACTTTTTAAACAGGGGGCCAGTTCACTGTCCCTCAGACCGTTGGAGGGCCGGACTGTAGTTTAAAAAAAAACTATGAACAAATTCCTATGCACACTGCACATATCTTATTTTGAAGTAAAAAAACAAAACGAGAACAAATACAATATTTGTATTTGCATGTGGCCCGCCGAAAACATTTCTCCGGCCCGCCGGGTGTTTTTGCCG